AACTATACCAGAACACATTCATCAACTGTTTGATATAACCATCGATGTATTTTAAACTTGTTTCAAACCACTGAATTTTGTATTTATGTAATATCTGACTAAAGAAATATATGTAGTCACATCCTAGAAGCTTAGAAAACTCTATGCCTTAATTTCCACATACCCTTTTAAAAGCATCCGCTCTCAACATTCATTTGTTTACTGTATCTCTTTGTCTATGGCTCAGATGCCCACCCACACCCCATGATTTTCGCCTTTCAGGTCTTGATGTGGGATGTCCATCAGTATGCTGTGAATATGTTCTTCTTAGCGGTTGATGAACATAGGTGTTTTGGCCAATGGGCAGGCAGGAAGTACAATCAGGGCTACCTAACTAGGAGAATTCACGGGAGAGGATCACAGAGAATGAGTCTCGAGGAGATGCCACGTAGCTGCTGAGGAAGCCTATACCACGTGGAGATATGCAGATGAATATAAATGGATTAATAATTAAGAGTGAGCTAGTCAATAAGAAATCTGAGCCATAGGCCAAACAGTTTATAAATAATATAATCCTCTGTGTATTTATTTGGGACTAAATGGCCACGGGACTGAGCAGGACATAAATTTCTGTTGACAGGTTCTATTAGTATCCTCCATGTTCAGGTCGTATTGACAACAATTTTAAAAAATGGCATGAATTAAGTGAGAGAAAGGCAGGAGACACATGAGAGACACTGGAAAGAAAAAAAGAAGGATGGAAATAATGCAATTAATTTTTATTAAAAATAAATAAATAAAATTATTTTGGAAAAAAGTTTTTGAAGTGTTTTCCCATTATTTCACTGATAAACTAATACTTTATTATTTACAGATTTAGTTACCTGATCCAAGTTGATATTTGGGTCTGAAATGCAGTCTTCTAAGTGCCAAATTTTGTTCTTAAAACAAATGAATTGTCATTGATTCAGAGCTCCAGAATCAAAACTCTGTTACAAATCAGGAGGTAAAATAAACAAAAATTAATCTATACATTAAAATAAGATTACTCAATTGAAAGCAACTAAACTTGTTGTTCTTCCCAGGAGAATTTCTTCATCATTAATCTTCTGAGGGAAGAAATTCAGTGAGAGTGAATACAATTCTCAGCTATAGACTTTTATTCTCCATATTTGAATTTTAAACAATACCTACCAGAATTTTCTATCTTTCTGAGTCTGGCACAGTACATCTATAACTCCTTGACTGTGAGGCAGAGACAAATAGATTCTGGGGTCCCGCTTACAATTCAGTTTACCTGAAACCGTGAGCTCCAAGTACAGTAAGCGATCTTGTCTCAAAACAGTAAATTGAATGGCTGGAGAGACCACTCAACTGTTAAGCTCACTGACCTTTCCAGCAGACTGGAATTCAATTCCCAGGGCTCGGAGGGTCTGATGCCATCTTCTGGCCTCTGTCAGCACTGCATGTGAAGTGCAAAGACGGGTGGAGAAAACATCACCAGACAACATTTTCACAGAAGATACACCTGCCAAACTTCCACACAACTCAACACACATTCAAAAAGAAAGCAATTGTGGTATATACACAAATTGGAGCTTTATTCAACCATAAACATAAATTTACAGAAAAATAAATGAAACTCGAGGTTTCTTATAATTAAATATTAAGCAAAGTAGTCAGACTTAGAAAAAAAAAGCTTCACATATTCTCCTTCATCATTTATACTTATATGTATACACATATATATTATGTGTGTATGTTATTATATAAAAGGGGGACTATTAGGAGAAAGGAAAGGGACTAAAAGGAGAGGCAAATAATTAAAAGAACATAAGGGGGTAAATATGATTAAGTATATGATACATAAATGAAAATGTGTATGAAATTCACCACTGTGCCTAATATAGTATATACTGATCACAATTATAGTGTTCCTATTTTTTAAACCATCCATTTTGTAAAGTTATTCTCCATTACCCCAAATAGGTAAGATTACTGTGACTTAACATGAAGGCCATAGAAAGTGTTTTTGTTTACTTATTTCAGCAGTAGCATATATATTGACTTAAGTTAAATTGATAAACTGATCGAGGTGCACTGATGTGGACCTATAATCACAGCACTTGGTTTCTGAGACTTTGTCTCAAATAAATAAATAAGAGAGTAAGTAAACAATAAATACATGAAATACATTGATAAGCTGAATTGGTTAAGGATATTGACTTGCTATTGTCACCTATATTAAGTGATTTTTTAAAAAGTTTATTGGCAGTACAATTCGTTGTTAATAATGTAAGACATATTTTAAATTACACTTAATTTTTCTTTAGTGTAAATAGTTGTGAACATTGATATTTTATATTAATCATATGTGTATTATATACAAAATGTATTTATCATATATTCTTTGGAATGTTTTATGATATGTATGTATTCACTCTAACTTCATAAACACAAGGAAGTATAAAATTGCTACACTCATATATATATATGTATATATATATGCATTCCTATACATAATATACAAGCTTTAATATGTAAGTATTTGTGTATGTGCATAATTATTTTTATAACTTGCATTCCATTCATTAAGTATTACATTTATGACTTGCCAGAGGCCAAGGAAATATACAGCAGGTGGCAACTAGTATTCCACAGGCCAATCTACCAGATGTGTGATTTTCTGTTGGGGAGTTCCATTTGGTAATGCTGTAGGGTCACTTGCTGTAGATAACTCTTTGTCTATGTAATTTTTCTCATGTACAACTAAAACAGCTATGAGTATTTTACCTACTGCTTATGTATTTAACTCATATATATATTCCATCTACTGAATACACATATATCTGTGGATGGACAGGAAGATGATTATGATTATGGACAGGAAGGTGTTTAATCTATATAATACCGAAGAATAGAAATAATGATAAGATATTTTTCATTACTCAGACTGACATAGGAAGGTAACAGTATTCTTAACCACTAAGACAAATAATTTTAGACTTCAGAACAAATTAAAAACAAACTGGTTGCCTGTGGAGATGAATATTTGGTTGCCCCTAGAGACAAATACACAAAGTCACTTTCCCAAGTGTATATTGATAATTCCAGGTTAGAGATAAAGAAGCTTTAGGAGACATAACTTTCTCAGCAATGGACTTTCTGCAAGTACTCCCCAACCTCAAGATTCAGTCAACTAACTGATTATTGTTTAAGTGCTGAATTTCAAATCACTTTCTGCCTGGGAATCATGATCATTCAGAGCTGCACGCTTTTTCTTTTCGAGACAGGGTTTCTCTGTATTGTTTTGGAGGCTGTCATGGAACTCGCTCTGTAGACCAGGCTGGCCTCGAACTCACAGAGATCCGCCTGCCTCTGCCTCCCGAGTGCTGGGATTAAAGGTGTGCGCCACCAACGCCTGGCTTGCTACACGCTTTCTTAATTCACTGCCTGGTCTGTCAGAATGACTTCCCTAGCCTGAAAGAAACTGTGTGATTAGTATAGTTCTGTTTATTATTGTTTACTCAGTAAATGTTGTATGACCCTGAAGATGTGATTCATATCTGTCCAGAGGCTTTTGCTGAGTGATGTGTGATGTGGAGAGAAGTGTAAGAGATGTAGGAAGGAGTAGGAAAAATATGAAAACTCTGTGGTGTGTGTGTGTGTGTGTACTGAAAAGGAGATGTAGCTGAATGTGGAGAGAGGAGTGTGAGAGATGTAAGAAGAAGTGTGAGAGAAATGTAAAGAGACATACCAGAGTGATCAGAAAGATATGGAAGATGAAGCTGTATAAAAGAAAGATGTGTATGTAGAAGAGATATATGTGAATGAAGAAACATGACTGTGTGGAAATTGCATGTGAGAGATGTAGCTGTGTTAAGAAATGTTAAAGTATGTAGCTATGTAGAGAATGTAACCGTATGAAAATAGGTGTAACCATGTGTAGAGATTTATTGCTATGCAGGAGAAAGAAGTATGTATGTATAAAGACACATGTAACTGCATGAAATGAGATTAACTGTGTAGAAAGATTACCAAGAAAGAGATTATTCAAGATAAAGTAAAAGAGAAGGTTACCATCAGGAAAGCATGTGCTTGTTTCTTTGTTCGTAAGTTACCATCAGAAAGCATGTATTTTCTTATTAACATCAGAATAGAAAAAGACCAGTCCTCAGAGAGAAATTTTCAGAGCATTCAAGCCATTTCCAAAAGAACTAAAGATAGATTATCCTGCCTACTTTGAAGGGTTCCTTAATGCAATCCTGGGTGCAGTCATGGGAGCTGGAATCCCCAGGCTGCCACAATGACTATATATAAATTTATATGTGTAATATATATATATATATACATATATGTGTGTATGTGTCTTAGAGCTTAGAGATTATATAAGACAGAAATGCATAAAACAATTTATAAACAAACTATCTTTCATTGATTCCTGGCTATTTCATGCATTGACTTTGTAACTTTAACTAATTTAAGCTATATTTTCTATTATTAGAAAATCATGGAATGTCCTACTTGACTTGAATACTGCCAATTCAGTGTATAAAATTTTCCATTTTCTTCTTCATCTAATATGTGCATTCTGCCAAATTTTACTCTTAGGAAATTACATTTTGTCACTTTTATTTTACTCTTGCCATTGATGAAGGAAAAAATTGCCTTTGTTTTTATTTACAAATATTAATTCTTTTACCATACTTCATATAACTGTAATGAAATCCTTCTTTTCTGATCATTCTAGAGAATCAGACTTCTTATGAATGGTTTTCTCCCATATTGTTTATATTCACCTCTTTTTCAATGCTTCAGATACTTTTTACTTCTTCACAAACAATATGAATGTATGCAGTGAATTCTCATTATTCCTCATCACTTATATTTGTTTACTTCAATCCTGACAAAAAGCTTAATTTCGTATGACTTAATGCCTCCCATATATTTAAATCTATCGATATTTAAAACATTTAATTTTATGTAACAAAATACTGAAACAAATAAGCAAAAATCCCCATTGGTCATTCTTTATTACTCAATATTTCATTCCTTGTGATTTTCTTCCTTGCTTCAAAGAAAATGTCAATCGTGATGTTGTGTTTTCTTGTCTGAAGATAAAGTCTTATAATTTACTGAAGTGTCAGTGCTGTCTAGACATGGTGATGGTTTTGGCCTGGCATTAGTACCAGAACCTCCTCCAGTTTTTTGCTGACTCTTCTCTCAAAGCGTCTTAATATTGTATGAAGAACTTATTAAGCTTAGTGTCACTACCTTTAGCCACAAATTCTAGGACTTTAATCTTGGTAGTTTCAACGTAAGCTTTTGGACCCCAAAGGAACTCATATCGTGGAGGATCACTATTAGGTATCTGCTGGTACTCCAGATACTTCAGTTTCACCAAATCTTGAGTGATGAATTTCCGTGGCTCTCTATAGATGAAGTGCTTCCTCCCTGGGTACACTTGCATCGTTTTCAGGAATTTCCAAACCTCTTCTTCAGCAATAGAGTTACCCTTCAAGAAAATCATAGCCAGGAGAGTCATAAGAAGACCAGTTTTTGGTAAACCCCTGCCAGCACAAACTCTTCCTTTGTTTGGGAGTTCTATCTTGCTGACTAGGTCATATAAGTGATTAGTTGAGTCAATTTCCACCACGTCAACTGCAAACACAATTTCAATGCGCTCAAAAGCTTTCTTAAATATCTCAGCAAATCTGTACCGGTATTTTGGGTCAATAACACTGAGTAAATCTTCCCTAGTAATGGGTTGTTTCATTTTAAATTTATAGAGTACAGTCTGCTCTACAAAATCCACATACATATCTAGACAATCTCTGAATGAATTATCATGACAGAGTTGACATTCTGAGTGAAGAAAGTTTCCTTCACCACAGCAGTATTGACAGTGGTCAAATTCTATATCATCACCAGAAATAGATACGGGTGAGGGTACACAGGAACAGCACTCAGTATTACTACTTGACTCAGAGGCAGGTGACATCCCATGAATGTCATCAGTCACAGAGCAGAGAGGCTTTTCTTCCTCTGCTTCACTATCCATTTCTCCCTTCTGATCCTGAGATTCATCTTTCTCATCATGGCATTTCTCATGATGGTGGTTCTTATTCTTCATGCGGCTGCGACGCTTATTCTTTTTACCCCTAGGCATAATGATTGCAGTCAGAGGGAATGGGCAGGAGCACGGGTAAGACTACAAAGGATGAGAGTCTGGCAGATGACAGATAGCATGTGTAGACCTTCAGCATGCAAATTTTACCAGAGCTTTAAGGAAAATGTCATTTTAGTTTTCTGTGGTGGGTCTTAATAAATCCATTGTGCTCCTGTTCTCCCCATCAACCTGATGCGTGTAGAACCTGAAAAAAATAATATGAATTAGCTTGCTGTCTGCAGTCATTGCCTCACTCATCAGCTGTTGATAGAATGTGGGAACCATTTACCCTTCTACTGTAGACATGACAAATACCATTAACTACCAAGACAAGGAAAGGAATTGGGTCCTTCAATCTGGCATTCACAACTCTGGTGCTAGCTCAGGAGAAAGGAATTTCTGTCTTAGACTCTCAGGGTCTGAGTTGACCAGAACTTTCTTAGGGTCACTACATGAGCACATAGATGTTGAGGACACCTACACTCTCATTTTAATTGTGACTGAACATCCAGTCTAATGATCTCGCCTCATATCACTTGCTATAGGAATGGGGGTCAGAGATTCACAACCTTGTTCTGAGTCTTCAAGGGAAAATCAGAGAGCAAGGCTAGATTATTTGTTATGTCATTTATTTTGTTGGTGTACCTTGTCTCCTCAGTGATTTCTTTCATGTCTGATACGGGGTCAGACTCATTTTTTATAGTCTCTATCCTGCAGTCTATGCTCTCATAATGAAGACGACAATACCCTTGGCTCCCCAAGTCTGAGGTAATAAGAGGTTATTCACTCACTATCACTGTCCTCTTTCCATAAGCTGAGAATAAGGAATAAATTCTGTGAAATACTCACTGTTATGAAGTGTTCTCTCTCAGGATATATTCAGTTGCATCTGGACAAACCTAACCCAGCAGTATTTCTAAGCTGAATCAGTAGGCCACAGTGACACTTAGGCCAAGTTCTAACTGCCACTGTGTCACAATAGGAGAAATTCCGTCACATCAAAGTCACTAATACTCAGGAATTCTGATAGTTCCAGCAAGGGTGGTACTATGAAGATTGTGTAAGTGATTCTCTCAGTTTTAAGGGTAAAGAGAGAATTACCTAACAAAATTATTCAGAATCCTCACCATAATGATTGTCAGGAACTGAATCCTGTTTTGGGTTTTTGTTTGTTTGTTTGTTTGTTTGTTTGTTTGTTTGTTTTTTGCTTCCTAAATATCATCCTCTCTGGTTACATCCTTTACTTTCTTGTAGCCCCTCTCTCAGAAGTCGACCTTTCAGTCTTGCCCAAGGTGTCTCAGTTAACATAAACTAAACTCTGCACTTCTTAGATTTTCAGAGTATTGCCATTCTGTGTTTGTTCCCATTAAGGCAGAAGACACGTGTTTTTTGTTTGTTTGTTTTCTGTTTTATTTTTTAGTCTTAAGTCTCAAAACCGCAAACAAATGTTTTAATTTAATTTACTTATTTTACATCCTGACTGCAGTGTCCCCTCCCTTCTCTCCTCCCCATTCCATCCCCCCACTTGCCAATCCACTCCTCCTCTGTTTCTATTCAGAAAGGGACAGGCCTAACACGGGTATCAACAATGCATGGTATATCAAGTTGCAGGAAGTCTAAATACCTCCCCTGCATTTAGGCTAGGCAAGGCAATCCAATATGAGGAGTAGCTTCCAAGAGCCAGTCAAAGCATTAGAGACAGTCCCTGCTCCCACTGTTAGGAGTCCCACAAAGAAGACCAAGCTACACAACTGTCACATACATGTACAGGGCCTATGCCAGTCCCATGCAGGCTCTCTGTCAAACCATTACTTTTGTTTATTGATACTCCTACAGAAAAGGAAGTCAGAGAATGTCACATTAGTAGCACTGTTTAGGTAGGCTATGCAGAGGTGTAGCTTTCCTACAGGAAGTTTATCACTAAAGGAAGGCTTTGTATCTTTATTGTATTCATGTCTCATGTTCTCAAACTCCACCCCAGGAACCCCATCTCAACTCACAACTTTATTTCATCCTTTTATAATTGTTTTTATTTTAGTTTATTTTATTTGTTTTATGCTTTTTCTACTATTTGAGAATTTCTTCCATGCATATAATATGGTGGTTTGAATGAAAATGGCCCTCATACACTTTTCGGGAGTGGCATTGTTAGGAAGAATGGCCTCGTTGGAGTAGGTGTGGCTTTGTTGGAGGAATTGTGTCACTAGGGTAGGCTTTGTGATTTCAGAAACTCAAGCCTGACCCAGTGGCTCACATTATTGTAGAACTCTCAGCTATCTCTCCAGCATCATGTCTGCCTGTGTGCTACCATGATTTCCCCTATGACAACGATGGACTAAACCTGTAAACTGTAAGCCAGCCCTTACTAAATATTTTCTTTCATTTTCGAGTTGTGGAGATCATGATACTTATTCACAACAATGGAAATTCTAAGACAGACTTATCAAATCCACCTACCATTTCTTGCTGTACAATTATACCTCTATCCCTCCAACCACTTCATGATTGGCAGAGATTCTTGGGAGAGGTGCAATGGTTTCGCCCTTCTCTTTCTATTAAAACAGGGGCTCTTAAAGCGCTTTATGATATTCTTCCTGGGGACCCTGCCCAAACTTCCCCTAGACAGATTACCCCAGAGGCCAGGGAAGCCCTACAATTGTTGTTAAGAAGTATAGAGCAAGCCCACCTTCGGCGTATAGATTATGGGCATCCCCTTGTTCTGGTTGTACTTTCATCTAGCTTTTTGCCCACTGCCGTGTTTTGGCAGACTGGTCCTATTTATTGGGTACGTTTGTCAGCCTCCCCTAAGAAGGTAGTGACCCCTTACTATGATCTCATTTTACAATTGTTGTGGAAGGCGCACAAGTTTAGCATTCAAACCTTTGGAAAGAGTCCTGATAAAATTATCCTTCCTTATGGTAAGGAGGAGGTGGAACATCTACAGATCTTCCATGATGGGTGGACCCTGTTTATTACATCTACAGGCGCCCAGTTTGATAACAATTATCCCAATAGCCCCTTGATGTCTTTTTTTAAACAACACCCTGTGATCTTTCCCAAGATTTTAAAGGAAAACCCTCTAGTTGGAGCTTGCTCAGTCTTTACAGACGGCTCCTCCAAGGGTTTCGTGGTGGTGGTTTCTTCTCAGGTGCAGAAGAGGGTACCCACAGGACAGATGTCAGCACAAGCCGCCGAGTTGTTTGCTTGCTTGATGGCTTTCCAAATGTTTGAGGGAGAGCCCTTTAATTTATATACTGATAGTGTTTATGTTGCCAACATTGTTAGACCTTTAGAAACTTCTCCATATGTTCTTCCAACCTCCCAGGTTCATTCCTTATTAGTTCAGCTCCAACATCTTATTTGGCAGCGCATCCACCCTGCTTATGTGGGATTTATTCGTGCACATACTAACCTTCCAGGACACCTTGCCCAGGGCAATGAAATTGCTGACTCCTTGACCTGCCCTAGGGTCTTATTTACTCAGGAGCAGCTTGCCCACCAGCTCCATGAGCGGTATCATCTAAATGCCCGCTCCATTAAATTTCACACTGGGTGCCCCTTATCCATAGCTACACAGATTACCTCTCAGTGCCCTGATTGTGCCCCTTATCATAATTCTCCCAATGAGGGGGTAAATCCCCAGGGCCTCAGGGCCAACCATCTCTGGCAAATGGATGTCACTCACCTGCCGCAGGCAGGGAAATTAAAATACATGCATGTCTCTGTGGATACGTATTCTAAACTGATTTTTGCCTCTCTCCACTCAGGAGAGAAGATTAAAGATGTTATTTCTCATTGCCTGCAGGCCTTTGCCTACATGGGCGTACCCAATGCCCTAAAAACCGACAATGGCCCTGCCTATGCCAGCAATCGCTTTGCTGCCTTTTGCAGGGAACATCACATTGTCCATTCTTTTGGTATTCCTCACAACCCCACGGGACAGGCTATTGTGGAGCGTACCCATGCCTCTCTCAAACAGTATTTTAAGAAAATAAAAAAGGGGGAGTATGTTACCTCCCCCAATATTCAGTTATCCACCATACTTTACATTTTAAATTTTTTGACCGTAGACCGTAATAATTTGTCTGCTATGGAGAGACATTGGAACAAACCCTCCCAGTCCTTGGGATGGGTCAGATGGAAGGATTTGATTACAGGAAAATGGCAGCCACCCACTCTCCTACTAGCTAGGGTCCGAGGGGCTGTTTGTGTTTTCCCTCCAGGAAGTGAGAAGCCCATTTGGGTCCCTGAACGGTGCATCAGGCATGTCGACCCCAATACTACTCCGGATACTAGGAATGCTCACCATGATAAAGATGATCCAACCATTGCTGAACACTCAGGTAAGGGAAATATGGGCGTTGGTGAGGATTCCCCCCCATGTTGATGCCAGTTAGTCATTCCAGGTCCCTGTTCATCAAATTTTATAACACCAATAATACATCGGGAGCGGCTGCCGCCAATGAGATTAAAAAGTCAGAAACTAGACATTCTGAGTTTCCCCCTCCTAAGCCTGATACCAGGGTCAGGAAGTAGGGGAATCCAAGAGATTCCCAGCGGCATACGCCGTTAATCCCAACACACCTTTATGCAAGTTCCAGAACAGCCTCCAAACAATACAGAGAAACCCTGACTCAAAAAAAATTGGTAACAGTAAAGAGGTACTGGTATTAAGTAAAGAAAAAGAAAAAGACAAAGGTATATGGAATGGAAAATTTTGTTTACATTTAAGTTCTATTTTGTGAGTCATCTCTAAAAACTTTTGGCCAAAAGCCTGGCCTCTCCACCTTGCATCTACAGAGTTACAAGGAGAAAGTACAGCTGTACCCCATGACTATAGCTCAAATGGAGGAATGATAAAGAACATACAGGACTTTTTAACCCTTTTAGTTCAAGGATTGGCTGGAGTTGTTCTTTTACATAGATTTCAATTAAGGGAGCTTCATTGCAACAGACTAATCATGACCTAGGGAAAAAGGATGACTGAAAGATGCATGTATGTTCTGAATGTATGGTGTGGCCACACCGGTATGTATGTAATGTGATTGTGAATGCGTGAGTGTAAACTGCTTATATGATTAAAAGGATACTTTAATCCCTTCAAAAATAGTTAAAAAGCTACCTAGATTGCTTTAAATATAGACAAAAGGAACATCAAGCCAGTCTGTTAATGTTTTAACAGAAAAATTTAAGATGCAAACGAGGCCTTGTCAGCTAGTGAGAGCTCTACAGGTTAGATTGGGAAAGACTGCTCACAGACTTCAAATAATTTTAAAAACTTATTTGGACACAGTATAGTTTACAATCTTTGAGTGATTTTCAGAAGTTTTTGGGAAATATTTAATGGATATGTCCTTTTTAATGGGCATCTACAAATAATCTAAGTAGTAATCCCAATTTACCTAGATAGTCAACCAAGGAGGGTAGACAAATCCTTCTACTGTTATGGTCCAGCTTCAACAGTTCAAAAAAAAAACTTTTTTTTAGAAAATAAAAAAGGGGGAATAATGTACCCAGTCCCCACATGACTCATCAAATAATACACTCCTCATTTAAAAATTTTATAATGTGAATGCCAGTGAGCTTCAGACAGATTCTGGCATGATGGAACTTGAGCAACCATTTCTCAGGTCAAATGGAGACATCCATACACTAGACAGTGGAGAAGACCCTAATTTGGGGTCGAGGGCATGTTTGTGTTTTCTTGCAGGAAAAGAATAAAGCTTTGGCAGCTGTCACACCATTTAGTGAGATGCATGGAGCAGAGAAAAACTGGACCTGAGACCATGGGAGCCTACCTAAGCCAGTTTGAGTGAGATCTCCTAAATCAATGTTCCTGACCCTTGATATCATCGAATCTATAGCCCAAGAAAGAAAGAAAACAGTCGGTTCGAGATTTCCAGTTTCTCAACAGACCTGTTGCATCAACCT